CGCCCGCCAGGACAGAGATTGTCAACAGGACAAAACAGGACAGGACGCAGTTTTGGTTTTGGTCCTGTCCTGCCGCCCGCCAGGACAGCACCAGCTAGCAGGACAGGGCAGGACAGGACGAAAAATCTTGTCCTGTGCTCATCTCTGTTCTATACAATAGTAAAAAATATTTTTTAATTTGCACGTCTAACTTCTGCGAGAAGAATATATTTTTTCTTACGGCGTCGTCCGAACGGCTAGCCACATGAAATGAGCAACTCACTCACATTCGGTCTCCAAACTTTTCCAAATTTTGTCAGAATGTTCTTCTACCAAATGTCGCTAATTTCTGTTAGCTCAAGCATTCCTGAACTGCACAATGGGTTTTCAAAAAAACCTAGGTTTTTAGGTATTTTTCTAGCTTTGGAAAAATATTTAATTGATAAAAATAGTCTATTTGTAATAAGGGCATTGGACTGCATCGAATGATATATAAGAAAAAAATTTTCTCAAAAAAAATAAGAGCAAGAGCCTTCTCAGACATTTTTCGTCGAAAAAATTTTTTCCTACAAAAAAAAAACTGTTTTTTTTTCTTAAAAATACAGTTCTACATCATATACAATAATTTCTGAGCAAAGAAATCCGTTTCCAATCAAGAAGATCACATGCTCCACCTGCTATGCGAAAAATGCGCACGGTACTTCCCCCTTCTCTTCTAAATTCGCCATTGCATGAACGATAAATCAAGATTATTGTCTTCAAATCATTATGTGACATTTAAAAAAAAACATATCAGATTATTGACGAATTGCTGATTCAGTTTTCATCAATAGATCTTCGAATAATTTTATTGAGTAAATGAATATTGAAACTGGAATTGACGGTTAATAATCTCGAATATTTTTTTATTTATTTTCATTGCGAACATAATTTTTTTTTCTAATGAATTGAATAATATCTCCTATGTAAATTCTTCTGAAAAACTTCACTGAAATTTTTATTTTAATAAGAAAAATTTGCAATGCGTTATTTACGAAAGATGTCAGTAAATATTTGTCTTTTTAGTATATAATAATCTGTCATTGGTGCATCATAGCTCTCATCTGATTCTTTTCTTATTATTGTTTCGAACGAGTTTTTTCTAGTAATTGTTCAAATGTTGGTCGTTGATTAGGATCCATTCCCCAACAATCATGTACAACTATATCAATATACCATGGTTCAGATTGTACAGAAAATATTGGTTTTTCACCATTTAAACGTTGTTGAACAACATCGTGTGTAGATTTTTCACTCCAAATACGTTCGCCACCATGAACTATTTCATAAAGTAAACATCCAAACATATAAATATCAGCTTTTTCTGTATAAACTTTTTTATCTTCAATAGCTTCTGGTGCATAATGACGTATGGATCCTCTTAATGGCATTTTTGTTATTGAATTTTCATTAATTGATACACTAAAATCTGATATTTTAACAATCATATTTGATAAAAGAATATTATCTGTTTTTATATCACGATGAAGAATTCCAAGTGAAATAAGATGAATAAAACCGGAAAGCATTTGTTCAATTAATTGAAACCATTGTTGATTTGGAAAAATGGTTCGTAATGTTTGATTTATTGATGTTCGATTTAATTTAATATATGAAAGGAGATCAATATCACATTTTTCCATAACACAAAATTGATCACCTATTCCAAATATTCGAATTATATTTATATGATAAGATGAATCATTAACTAATAATGTTAAAATTTTTGATTCATGTTCAAATTGTTTACGTTCACGAATAACTTTAACAGCAACTTGTTGCTTTTTATATTGTTTAGCATAAACAGTAGCACATCGACCATGACCAAGTTCAATAGTTTCATTATCATCAAAATCTGACCAAAGAATTGTTTCATTTGATCGACGATAATTAATATTATGTTCATGATGATAATTAAGTGCTGATGGATGAAGAATATCAATAAGAGTATCATAAAGATTTTTACTTATTTGTTGACGAATATAAGTACTACTTATATTTTTTATACATTCATTATCATATAGAACAATAATATTATTATGATAAGGTTTTATTGTTGATGATTGAAACCATTGATTAAAATCAAAATCATCTATTGGTCGATTAATTATACATATAACAAGTTCTTTTTTAAATGTTGATTTCAGTTTTGGTAATGCATCACCACCACATATGGATACAACTTCAATGGAAGGATACATTTTCTTTAGAAAATCACTTAAATGTTGTTTAGATTGTTGTGCACCATGATTTTTCTCTTGAGATATTTGCCATCGATCAACCATAATCCATGATGAATCATGAACAGCTAAACAACATATTTCGAGACGATTTTGCCATGTTGTATGAAGAACAGATATTTTTCTTAGAATACTATCATCATGAGTTGGTGAAATATAACCACCAATAACATGATAAATATCTAATGAATTTAAATGTTCGCGTGCTAATTCTAATAAACGAATATGATTATTATGTATTGGATTAAAACATCCATTAAGTAATAATACAATATTCTTTTTCGTATCTGATAAAGGCAAGAGTAGTTTAGTAGTATCGATCATATTCTTTAGTAATGAAATTGCGAAACAGAAAACAAAAAAAAAACATTATTACTATTATTTCATTATGATTGCGCAATTTCTAGATGTACGGCGCTATTGATAATGAAATTTCTCCTTCGCCAACGATAGGTGAGACACCGACTGAATTTAAAGTCTACAGACGACGATGGCTTTATTTAATATGTATATGTCTAGCCAATATGTCAAATGCTATCGTAAGATTTTGGTTTTCTTTTTTTTTGTTTTTATTGATGCAGTATGCTTTTATTTAGTTGTGGATTAATTTTGCTTCAATTGCTAATTTAGCAAAAAATTATTTTAATGTTTCATATGGAGATATTAATTGGCTTTCATTAATATTTATGGTGGTTTGTAGTATTTTTACATTACCATCAACATGGGCTATTGATCGATTTGGTATTCGATTTGGAGTAAATCTTTAAAAACAAAAAAGAAATTAAAATAAAAAGTGAGAGTTTTTTTTTTTTGAAGATTTTAACTGGTGTTTGGTTAAATTTAACTGGTGCATGTTTTCGTGTCATAAGTACATGGGGATTTGTATCAATTAAAAGTCGATATTCAATTGTTTTTATTGGTAAGTAAATCTTTTTTTTTCATACATATAGTTCGGTGATTTTCTTTTTTTAATAATAATTTTAATTAAAATAGGACAATTTATTTGTGCATTTGCACAAACATTTACATTATTTATTCCAGCTAAATTTTCTTTTTCGTGGTTTCCAGAAAGTCAACGAACATTAGCTACTAGTCTTTGTTTTGCAGGTAAGAAAAAAACCAAAATTATAAGATTTAAATTATTATTTATAAACTTCTTATTTTTTTTTAGCTAATTTTTTTGGTGTTTTTGTTGGAACTGTTCTACCACCAATTATTGTTTCACATGAAGATAAAATACCTTTATTAGTGAGTATTTTCTATTTAAAATGAGCTGCAAAAGTTTAAAACATCGTTTACTTCGGTGTTTTCTACGAGAATTTTGATTGATCTATAAAGTTATAGTCAAAATCTACATAAATCATCTGTTCTAGATCGAATTGGTTATAGCATGAAGAACAAAAAAAAACGATATTTTGATTTTTCTCTAGTAGGTAAATGTTTAAGATACTTTTAGTATTTTAGCGATCATATCGTTATGCAAAAATAGAGACAATTTTCAAAAATATATCATTAGATAGAGAATTCAATAGGATACATTTTAGTGTAAAAGTATGTTGAAGAATTATTATAGTCCTTTGGTCTCAAATTTCGATTGAAATTTTGATGTTATTTGCTTTTCTCTGTTTGTTTTTGTATTCAGTAAAAGTTATTCATTATGTGTTATGACTCTATGGTCATATAGAAGCCACGATCTGTTAGAATTAGTCTTATTTTCAAAGGCAACAGTTATCAATGAATAGAAGTAATGACTTATGCATCCATGATACTTGTCTTATCTTGACTTTTTTTTCCATATCACTATTACGTATTTATATTTTTCTTGTTTCAATATTTAACTATTATTTGCCAGTAGCAATTTAATTAATTGTTTTTATTCGTATAATTATAAAAATGAAGATTGATTTACAAACCAAATGTTTACTAGTGATGATGTTAAGGAACTTATAGATCATATTAAGAATATAAAGAAGTATGGAAAAGTCGACAAAAAAGAAGACCATGATAATTTTGAATCACTTTTATTAAATACAAATATCGAAAGCAACACTTGTGAGCTTGATGATTTCAGTGTTTGATGGATATTCAAAATATTACTTTTCTGTATAAACTCGTTGTCTTCTATGTGAAATATATAAATTTGAAAGGCTTTATATATCACATTTTTTTTGCACACATATTATCTTTGAAACTTTTCTTTAATCCAGCTCGATGATCTGTTGTTTCTCATATAATACCATTATATAATCTATAATGTTCTCTAGCAAATATTCAAGTATGATGGTCAAATAATAAAAATTCATTTCAGGAGAAATGATTAAACAGACCATTCGTCGACCTAACTTTGAAACCAAAGGACTATAGTTATAATAATTTAATACTATTAATTACTAACTCGAGAAATTTTTTTTTCTCATAAATTTAGATCTTCAACACTGTAAACAAAATCTGCTTTATAAAATGCACTATTTTTTAAAGTTCTCATGTCTATGTTTAGAGATCACTTTTCTTATAATTATTAATTTAATTTTAATCAATATTTAAACAAACCCTATTATAAAGAATTATTGAAAAATAAAAGTACAGTGTTATTCAGTTGTCAATGCTTTTCCTAACAGTATACTTGAAGATCCAAATTTCTAACAAAATACTTTTCTAATTAGTAATTAATAAATTTAAATTATTACTTGTAATAATTTAATAAGTTTTTCATACAAAAATATAGCCCGTCCAATTCTGCATCTAATGATATATGTTTGAAAATTGTCTCTTTATTTTCGATAATGATATAATCACCAAAATACTAAAAGTATCTTAAATTTTAACCTACTAGAAAAAAAAATTGTTCTTTTTCTGCACGTTACAATCAATTAGATCAAGAGTATATGGTTTATGTGAATCGTGACTGTAATTTTATATACCATGTCTTTTATCTGCTTTCTTTTGATAGAAAATATCGAAGTAAAAAAAAAATGTCTTAAACTTTTGTAGTCCATTTTAATTTTAGTGTTTTTTGTTTTGTTTAAATTGATTTTATTTAGCTTTATCTATCGTTGATACCAGCTTTTCTTGCAGCAGTTTTATCATTAACTGTTCGATCATCACAACCACCAACACCATCATGTTTATCTTCACTTGATGTAAAAAGTCCATATAAATTCGTTTTTAAAAAAGTATGATTTAGTTTTGTTTTATTTTATTGAGAAAAAAGAAGAGAATGAAATATTTTTGTTGATTTTTATATTCAGCTTTTAACATCAAAATCTTATTTAATTTTATTTTTTACTGTCGGATTTGGTTTATCAAATAATAATACACTTTCAACATTATTACAACAAATAATGTGTCCATTTGGTTATAATGATATTGCTGTAGGTTTATGTATTGGTTGTTTTATTATATTTGGTCTTATTGGATGTATTGTTATGGGAATTATAGCAGATAAAACAAAAAAATTGGAAGAATTAACAAAGATTTTATATTCTTTTGGAGTTATTTCACTAATTTGTATTGGTTTGGTACGTAGAGAATATTAAAAATTAATTTATAAAATTTTTTATTGATAAGTAGTTCATCATCAATGAAGTAAAATCTTATGGGCTTTATATTGTTTTTGCAATAGCTGGTTTAACTAATGCACCGGTACTTCCATTAAGTCTGGATCTAAGTATTGAAACGTAGGTGTATCTATATTTTGACTTTTATGAAATGATATAGTTATCAATTATTTTAGAACTCATCCAGTACCAGAAGCTACTGTTTCGGGTATTTTTTTGGTTGCTAGGTAAGCCATAAGGAAATCTATTGTTAATATTTGTATAAATAAAAGATTTTAATTTTATTTAGTCAATTGGGAAGCATTATTGCTATTATTATTTTACCAAGCTTTACACGTTCACCATCGGCTCATCAAATGAGTATTCAACAATGTGAAGCTGAAGATATGAAACTTAATGATATTCGAGATTATTCTAGTATTTGAATATATATTTTATTTGAAGATTTTTCAAACTTTTTTTTTGTTTTTGTTTTAGTTCCTGTGTATATCTTGGCTGTAATTTCGGTTATTCTTGTTATTTGTTTTATTTCATTTTTTCACTGTGAATATCGTCGACAGAAAAAAGATGAAATGGAACATAATGCAATATCTATTAATACAGATCCCGAATTAACATGAACAATAGAATATGATGTAAAATTGTTGTAAAATAGTGTTTTTTTTTTTGGTCTATTCACGCTAGATGATGAGCATACAGAAATTCGTTTTGTTTTCTCTAAAATCTAAAAGATTATTTTATGATTCTTGATTTTCTTGCTTTGTAGATGTCAGTTACCTTACATACTGATTTAGGTGATATTAAAATTGAACTTTATTGTGATCAATGTCCAAAAGCATGTGAAGTAAGTCATTCAAATAAATAAACAAAATATCTTATTATATTAAAATAAATTTAGAATTTCCTAGCTTTATGTGCAAGTAATTATTATGATAATTGTCTTTTTCATCGAAATGTTAAAGGTTATATGATTCAAACTGGTGATCCATCTGGAACGGGTAAATGTGGTCAAAGTATTTGGGGTGAATATTTTCCAGTAAATATTATTAATTTGTAATTTTTTTTTTATTTATCTACCAATTTTTCTCTACTTAGGATGAAATCAATCAAAATTTAAAAGTAAAATTTTAATTCTTATTTCATTTCCAATTTTTTGTTTACATTTAATAAAAATTTATTTAGCATAGTCAACGTGGTATTGTTTCTATGGCAAGTCGAGGTGCAAATACAAATGGTTCACAATTTTTTATTACATATGGAAAACAATCAAATCTTGATGGAAAATATACTGTATTTGGTAAAGTTATTGATGGCTTTGAAACACTTGATGAATTAGAAAAATTACCAGTTAATGAAAAAAATTATCGGCCAGAAACCGATGTTCGGATAGAACGTGTTACTATACATGCGAATCCATTAGCTGATTAGAAAGATTTATCAATATAAATATATATATATATGTATTTCTTTTGTTCTAGATAATAATAATAAAAAAATAAATAAATCATTATGGTTTGTGATAATTGTAAGTTTTTTAGATAAAATTAAAAATAAAAAGAAAACAATGATTTATTTTAGGTAAGAAAAAAATAGGTACTGTTGCAACACAAGAAGTATGGAAAAGTATGTTTATATATTTTAAAGAATTTTTTTGAAAATAAATTTATTCTTTATAGGTGGTTCTCGTAATACAGTTGGTATGAATTGTAGATTTATTTCTTCTTCTTTATTTTTATTTTAATATTTCTTTTGTAGAAAGTGGTGGTAGAAAATTAAATGAAAATAAATTATTATCCGGAAAATCGACTCGGTTTGTTCTTTAAGTTGTTTTTTTTAAATTGAATAAGATTTATTTTTATTTTTATTTAAGATACAGTCCATATACAACAAAATTTAGTAAATGTAAAGTTTGTAAAGGTACAATTCATCAACCAGGAAGTACTTATTGTCAAGGTTTGTCTTTAATTCTATTAATTTTCCTTGATTAATTTTTGTTTTTTGTTTAGGTTGTGCTTATAAATTGGGTATCTGCACAATGTGTGGTGTAAAAGTTTTACAAACAAAAAATTATCGTCAATCATCTGTTTAAACATTTTGATTTTTTTTGTCGGCTTATTCTTTCGAATAAATAAAGTTTTCTCTCTATATTGATCATGAACTATATTTAAATTGTTTGTGTTGTAGAAAAATTTTTCTCTAAATGTCAACTGTCATACGAAGTCTTTTAAGTTTAGCTTCAGTAGCAACTGTACATCGTTATAGTTCATATGCATATTTTTCATTATCAACTCCTTGTAAGTTTATCTATTAATTAAACCTATATTAATAGAAAACTGAACTATTTCAGATTGTTCAGCAAAAAAATCAATATCAGATGAAGTAGTTAAAGCGCAAACAGCTAAACCAATAGAAGATACAATCTTTGGAAAAATTGCGCGAAAAGAAATTAAAGTTGATCTACTTCATGAAGATGATCAGGTTTTATTTTTCTTTTGTAAAAGTAAAATCAAATTGACAATATTTTAAATTTAGTGTGTAGCATTTCATGATGTTAATAAACAAGCACCAACACATTTTTTAGTTATTCCAAAAGAACCTATCCCACAATTATCAGCTTGTACATCATCAAATGAAAAAGTACACGATATTCTTTGATTTCATTTCAAATGATTGTTTTATTTTATTTTTTTGTTTAGTTACTTGGTCATTTGTTAATTGTTGCTGCACAAGTTGCTAAAAAACAAGGTCTAGCTGATGATGGTTATCGTTTAGTTATTAATAATGGACGAAATGCATGTCAAAGTGTTTATCATCTTCATATTCATGTCCTCGGTGGCAGACAACTCGACTGGCCACCTGGTTAATTAATAAAACCTATTTCTTTTTTAAATAAAACAAAATATCAAGTTTCTCTTTCATTTTTTAGTATTGATTTTATTAGACGTTATGCTATTTTAGATTTTGAAATGTCAGATGAACAGAAAACTGAATGGTCAAATGTAAAATCTTTACATAATGATCGTTTTATTGAATCAAAAAAAGAAAAACTTGATATAAATAATTTACATCCTGAACAACGTAAACGTTTACAAATGCTCGGTTTAATAACTTTAAATACAAATGGAGAACAACAAGAAGCAACCGATGAAGAGATTGATACTATTTTACAAAAAACAATACAAAATGAAGATCCAAGTATTCTAGCTGATAAATATATGATGCGACATGGATTATATGATTTACTTAAAGTAGAATTTTATTTTTGAGTTTAAATATTTATTTATTAATTTTCATATTTTGATAGGCATTGACAACAAAAATTGTACTTAATCGACCAGCTGATCCAATTACTTTTATGATTAATGATCTAGAAAATCAAGTTAAAGATAAAGCAAATATTTGAATTTTATTTCCATTAATCTCAGCTTTCTTTTCCGTCCATTTTTATTTTTGAATAGTTTCGAATAATATATAAAATAAATCGATTAATATAATAATTGATTAATTTTTGTTTTCGAAAATTTACTCTAAATATAATAAATAATAATTCTCACAGAGAAAAAGTCTAGTTTATTAATTAAATGAAACTTTAATGGATTTAATAGTTAGAATACTATTCAGTAGTGATTTTGCTTGTAGAAAAATGATAATGTTCAGATTCAACTGACGAGATTACACCAAGAAACAAGGATAAACTAGACAAAAACCATGAATAAACATGGTCTATCTAATTGCAAAGTACTATTGCTATTATTCACGTCAAAATATAAGGCAGATCAATATGTTTTCAATAACTTTCGAATTGTTGAGCATCTGACTAATCAAACAAGTTCTTGATGAAGGTTTTCGAAAACGATATTCTGAGGTCATTTCTCTTTCGATTTCATATATAAATAAAATATCTTGGATAAAGCGTATTTGTTCACATATGATATTTTGCATCTCGATCGGAATTTTCTTAATGGTTTCATAACATTGGTGTCATGATTCCACCATATTGACTACATAATATTCATCATTTTGAATTGAGTTCATCATGATGATTTATATGATGACGAAATAGAGCAAAATGATAGTTATCAATAACATAAGCAAATGATAGAACATCTATTTTTGTAAAGCTATATGCATTAAAGAATTGATTTTCATAATATGAAGTTATAGTTACGTCATCCATAAAACTTAATTTTAATAAATGTGATGATAAAACTAATCAGAGAACTTCTGATGTAGAAAATAAATAGAAAAAAAATCGCTTGCATACATGCCAATTGTATCTTGAATAGCTTTATGAAAACCAGAATTAGTATCATTTTGATCAAAAAATATGTTTGTTTATCATATGATATATAATATTCGATATGTTCCAGTTTATGATGAATTGTATAAAGATAATTATCATTCATAATAGTACAAATTTTAACTCGATAATCATTATGACAACCCAGATTAAATGCTGATGCTTGACAAACGACATCATGATCAATGAATTAAAAAAGGATTAAAATAGAAAATTTCCTAATACTTTGAAAAATGATGTGTTTTTCGCAGAAAACGATTTCCTTCAGTTTTTTTCAAGTCTCTTTTTGTAATAGTGATAATTGTAGAGAAATATATAATAAATAAATATTTTGAAAGAATGTTAAAATAAAAAAATAAATCATATTTTTAACAACAAAAGAAGACAATAATTTTACTAAAATTCGTTTATTAGTTCTTGTTTAGCATCTATCTGTTTATATATTATCACAATTTTAATATTCAAGATTATGAATATTAACTACTCGATAGAAAACAAAGATACTGAATTACGATGAATAACTTTTACAAAGACAAAAATCGACGATAGACAACAAAAATTGTTTGGTCATTGATATTTGCCTTTGTTTACAACTGAAATGATAAAAATTTAAGATTTTAATTTGAAAATATCGAAATATTTTCATTTACTTACTGTTGCATATGTTCATTTGATCTAGTTAGTGATATTAGAGGTAAAAAGCACTGTTTTAGCTGTCGGTGATTTTGAAGAAAAATCACCAAATGGATTTGTTGCTATTGACGGAGAACTAGGTGTAAGAGATGTCGAACCTTGAAAATTCAAGTGTTGTTGAGGAACAAATGGTGCTTGTTGAGGAAAAAAAGGTGCTTGTTGAGGAACAAAAGGTGTTTGTTGAGAAACAAAAGGTGTTTGTTGAGTTGGTTGAGCAAACACGTTGGTATTAACTGTAGGCGTTGGTGCACTCGTAGTAAACACTAAAAATAAATCATCAGTATCTATGGCAGATCCTGATTGTTGAGTAGTTTTAGTCACTGTTGATGACGATGTATGTACATTGAATACATTAGCAAGAGACTGAAAATAAAGTTAATCATTATTTATGAGTTAAGAAAAATGATTTTAAAAATTTACATCTTCTACACGAGAAGTTGGTTGTATAGTAGGTAGCATAGGTTCGCTAATATTCCATGGATCGACATTAGATGTTGACAGTTGTTGAGCTGTTCTTAATGGTCGAGGAATAGCTGTTGAAGGACTATCTCCCCAAACGTTATCAAATAAAGGTGTCTACTAGCTAACTTTTATTAAAAAGATCGACAATAAAATATTAC